TGTCTATCAGCTTATAAGCAAATTTCATGACCTATCTCTCCTAACAGCTGCATAGTATTCCATTGTGTAAATGTACCAAAGTTTTTTTAACCTGTTCTAGGGCACGTCTGTTCATATCTTAACCAGTGTATAGTAATGTTCATTTATGCTTTGTTTTCATTTTTAATCTGCAGTTAGCATATATGGATTGTTTTCCAGCCTTTCACTGTGTTATTGTGAGAGTTCAAGTGTATTTCTTGTAAGCAGCAGATGGTTGGTTTTTGTTTCTTGATCCATTTATTCCTTGTGTACCTTTCTTTGTGTGTGTGAGGCACACCCAGCTGTGCTCAGGGCTTATTCCTGGCTCTGAATTCAGGGGTCATTATTGGCTGGACTCAGGGGACCATATATTTGGCCTGGGATTGAACCCCAGTTAGCCGTGTACAAGGTTACAATCACACAATGATCAAACACCCTACCCATTGTACTGTTCTCCAGCCCTCTCTTTATCTCTTTTTTCTGCTTTGTTTTTGGACCAGGCCCAGCAATATTCAGGACTTACTCCTGGTTCTGTACTGGGGATCACTCCAGGCAGGCTTGAGGTACCATATAGGATGCTGGGGATTGAACCTGGATTGGCCATGTGCAAGGCAAATGCCCTGCCCACTGTACTATTGCTCTGGCCCTCTCTGTGCATTTTGATTGGCAAGTCACATCTATTAACATTTAAAGAAATTAGTCAACTGTCAACTATCAACTGTCCTCCTGTTGTTCATCGATTTGCTCGAGCGGTCCCAGTCACGTCTCCATTGTGAGACTTCTTGTTACTGTATTTGGCATATTGAATATTCTCGGTAGCTTGCCAGGCTCTCTGAGAGGGGCGGAGGAAGTGAACCCGGCTCGGCCGGGCTGGCTGTGCGCAAGGAGAGAAATTATTAAGAGTAATTTATTGTAATTTTATATGAGGATTTTGCATTTTGCCACTTGCCATTTGCTTTTTAGTGGAGCTCATTCTTTACTTTTGCAGTGCTGATTTAGATGTAGTAAATGCCCTCAGTTCTTGTTGGCTCCAAAATGTGTTTACCATTCCCTCAGATAGAAGTGATAATCTTGTAGGGTAGAGGGTTATAATTGGAGTTTCTTTCATTCAATATTTTGAATATATTATTTCTATTTTCTTTATGCTTATAGAGTATCACATGAGAAGTCTGATGTGGGGGCTAGAGGGATAATATAGCATATTCTTGCCTTGCATGTGGAAACGTGGGTTCAATTATCAACATTCCATATGGTTTCCTTAGCCCTACCAGTAGTGATCTCTGAGCACAGAGCCAGGAACACTGCTGAGTGTTGCCCAAATTTAAAAAAAAATTAAAAATCTTTTGTGAATCTTAAAGTGTTTTCTTTGTAAGTGAAACCTTGCTTCTCTTGCTGCTTTAAAGGGTACCTATTTTTTTTTTCAGCACAGTGATTCGTTCTTTGAAAGGTCTTCTTCCTCTTTCTCTCTTTCGTTTCCTTCTGGAATTTCTCTGATACTAAAGTTGTTCCTCTTACTATTTAGTGTTAGTTATACCTCTTAAATATTCTTCAGTTTTCAAAACATTTCTTTTTTATCACCTCTTCTTTATGATGTGATGTGCCTTGTCTTCACAGTCACTGAATATTTAACTTCCTCCATTCTGCTCCTGGGCCCTGCTACCATGTTCTTCAACTCCTTCATTTCTGTTTGAATGAGTTGTTATTTTTTTTCCATCAATCGTTCTTTCTCAACTCTCTCTTCCAATGATTTCCTCAATTTAATGAACATTAAGAGTTTTTTTCTGAAGCCATCCTCAGGAAGTTTATAAAGTTCTAATGTAGATGAGATTTTTCCTGGAGTTCTGTCCCCCTCCATTGGTGTTACTGAATTCCTTCCCTTTTTTCATTATTCTTAGTGTATTATGGGACCTGACGGTGGAGCTTTGAGTTCCATTTTCCCTAACCAGCAGCCTGGTATTCCGGTTTGCAGTGTCAAACTGGTCCTTGTGACCCTACTGATTTCTAGCAGTTGTGGATATCTTATGAAGATTTCTTACCTATTTATAAGATTTAATTGGTACATGTGGCTCAAATTGTGAATGCGTGGATAGCAACTAGGAATTTGTGGTCACCTGTACCATTTAGCTGCATTAGTCCTAGGACTAACTGATGTTAGTTTGGCCCAGGATTCACAGTTATTGATGTCTGTAAGCTGATGTGACATCGCAATCCAACTGATTTGGGCAATTACTGTATATTGTGGTCACATATACCGAATAATAGTTGGTTCAGAAGATTGAGCTTCATAGCTACAGGGATGTTTTTGCATTTTTCTGCACTGGATAAGGGTTGTCTGCTCCTGACTGGCAGTGGCCTAATGAGTGAGCCATATCAAGTTGTCTGCCTCTGCTGCCGCATATAATAAGACAGCCTTAAGATCAGCTATTCCTAGTTGGGGAAGACTTAACACTGTTAGTGCTGGACGCTGCCAATTCCCAGTCTCTTCCTGACACAGAAAGCGCAAACACAAATTGAATTTCTCTGGCTCCTTTGTGTTCAGTGCCATCCATCTTAATTGTTGAATAAGTCTGGTATACCCACATTGGAGAAGTTTCCTTTAGTTCTGAACTGGTTGCAGCTATAAACTATCAGATCATACCCAGCAATGAACCTGTATGTGGGGCCAAGACTGTGACCCTATTTGGACAGAGTTTCCCTATTGGGCAGGGTTTTCCTAAGGATTGGCTGGGCCAGTCTGAGCTGGTGTGGCCACAACCTTTGTTAGGTTTGACAAGTCCCCAAGCTCTTTCAACATAATGAGTTTGGGGCAGGAGAGATAGAACAGTGGGTATGGTGCTTTCTTTGCATGTGGCAAACCAGGTTTGACCTCCAGCACCTTGAATGGTTCCCCAGGCTTACCTGGAGTGTTCTCCAAGTGCAGAGCTAGGAGTAAACCCTGAGCACAGCCAGGTGTGGGCCAAAACAAACAAGCAAACCAAACATATTGAGTTTAACTACAAAGCTGGGTTCTGTATGTTAAAAAAGAAAATTCAACACTGTCAGTGATCTTTAGAGCTTGGCCACATCAACTCAGGCATTGAGTTTGTCAGGGTTGAGCTGAGATTACAGTTCTATTGTGTGAGGCCCATCTCAGAATGGGCTACTTCCAGCTGAGTCCAGGAGCAGCAATCCACTGTGCTGGGTTCAATGAGACAGAATCTGTTTTCAAATCAATGAGTGTCAGAATAAAGCTGATGTTCTTTTAAATATTTGCTTTTAGATTGCTGTTTAATTCCCCTAGCAGCTTTTGGTCCCTTTCCTCTTTCAGTCTCTGCTCCTGTGTTGGCTCCACCCAGGGCAGCGATCCTTAGCTGTAGGCTTGTCCACAGTTCTGTTTTTCACAGCATCAGTTTTCCGTAAGGCAATGGCTGTGTTCTCCAGTGAATTTTCTCCAATGAGGCCCCACACATGATGCTGTATTCAGGTCTGTTTCTTTGCGTTCTTTGTGTCAGTAATACTGGAGAATTACAAAACTGTTCCTTTTTTACCATTTTGGATCTGCCCCCCACCTCAACTTGTTTCTGTAGTTCCATGTTTAACACAATTTTTAACCACTTGTTGACTAAATGAACAAATGATACATAAATTAAGCAATAGGAACCAGTATGACAATAATAGTTGGAAATAATCACTCTGGACAAGAACTGAGTATTAGAAGTAGGTAAAGGGATATACTTGATAACCTTTTAATTTCCGTATTGCAAGCCACAATGCCCAAATTGGGGGCTTGGGGGAGAGAGAGAAAGTGCTTGCCATAAGGCAGGTTGTGATGGGAAGGAAACTGGGGATACAGGTGCTGGGAAATAATACACAGGTGAAGGGATGGGTGTTGGAATATTGTGTGACTGAAATTTAATCATGAACAGCTTTAATTAAATCATCCCACAGTGATTTAATTTTTAAAAAGTATAAAAATAAATCAGGATAACAATAAAAAATTAAGCAATATGTACATTTGGTATTATAACATCTTGTAAATATGGTACAGTATTTAATTTTGGCTCTTTGACTGATACCATTTATGTGTACTGAGTACATGGCTGTGGACACAGGTGTAGTAAACTACTTTTGATATCATATATTTTGTCTTTGCCATGGTTATTTTCTGTTATAGTTGATAGGGAATCTTGAGATGAAGAGATATGAATAAGATCCTTGGCAGGCACAGGAAAAATATGAGAAGACAGAGACATTTTGGCAGATGTTTGCCTGTGGATTCATTGCGACTTGGGCCCTGCAGTGCTGAGGACCACTTCAGTCACCCCAATGCTTGGAGGCCTTGGTGCCATACCTGGCAATGCTTGGGCTATGCCCAGTGAAACTTGTAGCGCCAGGAATCAAATCTAGGTCGGGCACATGTAGCACATAAGTCCTAACCTTGTTCTCTAACCCTTAAATTTCAAGTGTGACTTTAACTATATTATTTGTCTTTGACTTTTTGCCCAAATTTTTGTGAATTTATGTAACATTTTTTCTTTTTTCTTAGCCCTAAAATGACTCTCTAGAGTTTAGAGTATCAAAAGTATAAGAAGATAGGAAAATATAAATTGAGTAATGTAGATTCTTAGGGATCCAATATGAGAAATATTATTATAATGATTTGAGTATTCACATCAGAGATGTATTTCCTCATTATTTGCTTATCATTATGCCTACAACTCTGGTAGGGGGGTGGGAAAGAATAAGACAATCCTCATTGCTGTTCTCAGAGAGATAAGAGCCTCAACTATTAAGTAAAGAAAGATACTTCTTAAGCATCTAATGATATTTATTGCATGATATTTGGAGATAAATATAATGTCCTTCCACTAGACATGTAGTTTGATCTTGTCTGTCACTTGAGATGTTCTGATAAACCGTTATGGTTTATCTGTCAATGTCAGTTTTACTTGTTCCAAAACAAACAGTCTATTACATTTCTCTCTGTTTCTTCTACATTTCAGTGAGCGGTTTCTGGTGAGACTGAACAAGAATGGTGGGCCACGGAACCCAGAGAAGATAGAACGAATGTGTGCCCTTTTTACAGTATGTGTAAATTCTCTTTGTCTTCTCTGCTTTTGACTCTGTTTGGGGTCTTCCTATGTGGATATTGTCACCCAGGAAACAAGCATTTATTCCTTATTTTCTTGTGCTTGGGAGATTGTGACTTGATTTCTGTTTCTATCAAGTTTTAATGAAGTGTTTAAGAAAAACAGAAATTAGCTACAGTTCTCATTTAATTATTATTAAAGAAATAATTGCATTCCTTTCTTTTTAGTTTTTGGGCCACATGCAGCTGTGCTCAGGTCTTGACTCTGTTCACAGAACATTCCTGGCAGGGCACAGGGGACCACTCTTGACTTTCAAGTACCTCTATTGATATGAATTTCACAAGATTTTAAATATGATAGATACTGAAAATCTGAGAAAATTCTTAAAATTCTTACTTAAAGCCATTGGGAAATATTCTGTTGTGTATGAATAGTTTCTTTAAAGGCATTCACTGAATTGATACTTTTGCAGTTTTTTAAAAAATACATTTAAAAAGAGACTAAATGTTCTTCTCTTTCAAATAACAAATGGAGGTTATGATCTGTACTTTAGTCTGTTCTGAATATCTGCTATGATCTGTACTTTAGTCTTTTCTGAATAACCGTGCTGTTATAGTCTCTTGAGGTCATAGGCTCATGAGGTCACAGAAGACTTGGTAATATGCTTATTGAAAATGGTTAAATCTCACAATACCAAACCACATTGGCTTGGATTTTCCTTAAGTTGATTCTGACTAACTTTTTTACTGAGTTAAAAATCTGTACAGGTTTTTTTTTAATTTATTTTTTGGTGTGGGGAGCACACCTGACTGTGCTCACGGAGAATGGAACCAGGGTTGGCCATGTGCAAAGAAAGTACCTTACCCCATACAACTTTCTAGCACTAGTCCTATTTTATTTGACTTATGTGGTGAAGAGAAATACAACTGTAATTAAACTTTTAACCAATTTTGACTGTTTTACTGATACTAAAATGTGTCAAAATCCATTAAATATAAGGAGGTCTGGGAGCCTGAGAGATCCACTTCTCTAGGTATGGTACATGATTAATAAGTGACTTTGTGTCTCAAAGTCTACATTGTGCCTCATAAACACAAATGGCATTTATCTAGATATCTGATATGTAACTCTCTGGAAGATATATTATATTTATTTGCCTAAATTTTAAATTCATTTTATGCAGCTTTTTCTTTCAAAACTTAAAATGTAACAGCAGTTAGAAACTATTTTCACAGGATAGCTTTAAAAAAAAAACCCTAGGGCTGGAGTGATAGCACAGCGGGTAGGGTGTTTGCCTTGCACACGGCTGACCCGGGTTCGATTCCCAGCATCCCATATGGTCCCTTGAGCACCGCCAGGAGTAATTCCTGAGTGCATGAGCCAGGAGTAATCCCTGTGCATCGCCAGATGTGACCCAAAAAAGAAAAAAAAAAGCTTGAAAAAAAAAAACTTCCCAGATGTACAGAAATATTAATATAAACCTAAATTGATTTTTGTCCATCTTTGAGCTTAGTATTAAATGCATAGGAAATAATACAGCAAAAAGGAAAAGTAGATCCTTGGAGAGTTGTGGTTATTTAGTCAAAGAAGATCCGTGCTCTCTATTCAAAAGAAAAGGAACAAGGGGTAAAGTCCAAACTGCAGTTTATAGGATTTAGGTTTCAAAACTGTGGAAGGGAAGAGTCTCTGAAATGAAAGTGGCTAAATGCTAATATGATTATCTGGGTCTGCCTTTCTGAATTAGAATGAGATCAGATACCCCTCAGTTTAGAATGTATCAGGGACCTTAGGAGATTTTTCTAGATCCTGATTTTCTGATATGATTTGGTTAAAACAGCAAAAGAAATAGTTGATATTTCTTCTTTTGGTGTTGTTTGCAAGTGGGACCATTTCCGGCAGTGCTCGGGGACCATGAACTGCCAGGACCAAAGTGCTGAAACCCTCTGAGTCTTTTCCTTAGCCCAAACTCCCCAATTTAAAAAATAATAATAATAAAGATCTACAAAATGTGAAGTTTTACAAAGAGCAAGACATTTTGTAGCAAATTTGTGTTGGCCAAGATTTTTGTATTTAAGCTTTAAGCTTGATGAAATAATAAATTTGCTGAACATACTTTTGTTTTTATTTTTTAATCGGGGCTGGAGCGATAGCACAGCAGGTAGGGTGTTTGCCTTGCACACAGCCGACCCGGGTTCGATTCCTCTGCCCATCTTGGAGAGCCCAGCAAGCTACCAAAAGTATCCCGCCTGCATGGCAAAGCCTAGCAAGCTACCCATGATGTATTCCATATGCCAAAAACAGTAACAACAAGTCTCACAATGGAGATGTTACTGGTGCCCACTCGAGGCAATCGATGAACAAAGGGAAAATGGGAAAACAGTGCTACCGTGCTCGAGTTTTTCAATTTAAGATTTGAGTTCCTTTTGTGGGCTAAAAGGGATTTTTCAGATTGGCATATATGCTAAAAACTTTGAGAGTAAGTTAGAAATGCAGCCATAGTTTTTTTGTTGTTGTTGTTTGTTTGTTTTTATTGAATCACTGTGAGCTACAGTTACAAAGCTTTCATGTTTGAGTTTTAGTCATACAATGATCAAACACCCAATCCCTCTTCCAGTGCACATTTTCCACCACCAATGTCCCCATCATCCACCACCACCACCACCACCCCGCCCATCCCAACCCTCCCCCTGCCTCTGTGGCAGACAGTTTCCCCCAACTCTCTCTCTACTTTTGGGCATTATGGTTTGCAATATAGATACAAAACACTTCTTTTGGGGGGCAGGTGGGAGTTGGGCCACAACCAGTTGTGCTCCCAGCTTACTCCTGGCAGGGCTTTGGGGAGCCTATGGAAGTGCCAGGGATCTAACCTAGGACACCTGTGTGCAAGGCAACAGCATTCCCTGCTGTACTACCTCTCTGGCACCCCATAGTTTTGATCAATGCCAATTTTAGTTTACCATACTGTCACTGTCACAGTCCTCCCATTGTTCATCGATTTGCTTGAGCAGGCCCAGTAACGTCTCCATTGGAGACTTTGTTGTTACTGTGTTTGGCATATCGAATACATCACGGGGAGCTTGCCAGGCTCTGCCGTGCGGGCGAGATACTCTCGGTAGCTTGCCGGGCGGGCTCTCCGAGAGGGGCGGAGGAATCGAACTCGGGTCGGCCATGTTGGCTGCGTGCAAGGCAAACGCCCTACCGCATAGTGCCAAGAAAAAGGGGACCAGACAAATTTAGGTTTTATGGGGTCACTCAAATAGACTTCAGAACGGCATACAGCTCATTATTCATGGCATAACAATGAGAGTTGAAGTTGTTTAGTCAACCTTATATTTTTTGTTTTATTTTGTTTCCCTTATTAAATGTCAAAGCTTTCTAGTTGGGAATGATGTTAGGAAAGAGGCATTGCATATTTGTATGATTGTCTAATATAGTTATAGTTTTGCAGACATTTATAATAAAAAGTGGTTTGAGATGTTTGTGCATATACTCATTGCTAGATACCAAAGTTTCAGTAATTATTTGTTATATAAAAAAGAATGTTTATGTGTTTAGTGAAGTTAACCATTTCAGAGAATGAAATTGTGCTGTATTCCCTGTATTAGTAGGCACAATATTTTATACACTTATTTATACTCTTTAACATTTCAACTTAGAATTTTAGGTGGCTATTTCTTGGAATTAAGAATGAACTTGTTTTATACAAGTGGTACTACATGGAAAGTATCATGCTAAGTGAAGTGAGTCAGAGAGACAGACATACAAAGATTGCATTCATCTGGGAAATATAAAGTAGCAAAATGGGAGACTAACACCCAAGAATAGCTGAGATAAGTACCAGGAGGTTCAGTCCATGGCTTGGAGGCCAGCTGCACATGCTGGGGGAGAAGGCAGCTCAGATAGAGAAGGGAGAACCAAGTAAAGGGTGTTGGGAGGATCCCACCAGGATGAGAGATACATGCTGAAAGTAGGCTATAGACCAAACCTGATTGCCACTCAATGCCTCTTTTGCAAACCACAGCACCCAAAAGGAGAGAGAGAACAAAAGGGAATGCCCTGCCACAGGGGTGGGGTGGGAATCAGCTACCTAGTTATTGTGAGAGGAGGATGGTTATAGTCTTAGGAGTAAATCTTAAATTCAAACCCTGCTTACAGAATAAATGGTCACTCTTCATATCTTGATTTTAAAGGTGTTTTGTGTATTTTAACATGAGTAGCCATACTTGGTACTTGGTCTTAAAGAGTATATGCTTAGTAACTATGAAATTTTATAGGAATAGAAAAATAATTTTACTTATAATATTTTCTCGCACTGATTATCATCATCTTATTTGGGGGCAAAGTGGGGTGGGTGAACTAAACCTAGCTGTGCATAGGGTTTACTCCTTGCTCTGCACTCTTTTGGGGCTCAGGGGACCATATATGATACTGGGGATCAAACCCAGGTCAGGTGCATGCACAGTAGCACCTGCTTTCCTTTGGATAGTACCTGCTGTACTATCTCTCTGGCCCCTAACACCATTTTTTATATTAAATTATTTTGGAACCTATTTCATTGTAAGCATATGTTACTACTCCATCAAGAGTTTGGAGAAATAAGTAAATAGATTCTAGAAGCCTCTGTTTCATCATTGCCCATAAGTTTCTAAAGTCTCCTTTTCCTTTACTAATATTTTGGTTTTTACTGAGATATCATAATCTACAACATTGTTAATAGTAGAATTTCCTATATACATCTTTCTAATACCACACCTACCACCAGAATGTTCACTTCTTTCCACCAGTGTCCCCAGGATCCTTCCCATCTATCCTCCAGGTAAGCTCATTTCTGTAGAACAACTTTCAAGTTCTGTTCCCCTCGGATATGTGTTGTTCCCTTACTTGGTTTCCTCCCTTTCATTTGTTCTGGTCTATGCTACAGAGGCCGTTAAAAAAAAAAGTTCTAGGAGTGAGACCTTACAGTTTGCATTGTAGATGCCTTCCTTGCCCTTTCTCTTTCCCCACCCTAACCTGCAATAGGATTTTTAAATAATGGAAACTTGGGCCAGAGAAGTAACTCACTCAAAGAGCTAGCATACATGCTTTACATGCAAGACATCTGGATTACATCTTGCAAGTTGCATGGTCCCTCAAGCAATACCAGAGAGATCCTTGAGCACTGAACCAGGAGTAATCTCTGAGCACCAGTAGGTATGATTCAAAAGCCTACTTATGGGGGTGTGGTGCTGCCAACAGGTCAACCTGTACCCGTGGGGCAAGTGCATCAGCAGCCTGATGGTAACTTCAGGCTTTCTGATACTCCGAAACTGCCACTGTGCCCCTAGCCAGGCCCCAACAACTCAGGACCAAGTTTCCCAAGAAATTAAATAGTCAAAATTTAGATATGTGGGAGCCACATCCACAAATCACTGTGGGCTCAGCTATACAAGCTCTTTTATTGTCTTACCTCAGAGACCCATAAGTAAATCTTGAAAGAGCTCAAAAGCCACAGTTAATCTTGGGCCCATGCAAGGCTGAACAAACCAGGGTAAATTGGAGGGGCATAGGTCAGCCTGGTGCATGCCTAAGCAGCCACTTGCTCCTACAATCCAAAATATCCACCATGCCCCGGCCCTACTCCACCATCTCAGGACAAACCTCTTTAAGATATTAACATGTTGAAAATTCAGATATGTGGGTTTTGTGACTGAAATCTCCAGGCTTTCTTGAGGTCAGGCTAGGCTTCCTTCCCCACTTCCATATACTCTAGGAAGCACTGGCAGTCACCTCCATGAGTCCAGTGCTGCCATGTAAGCTTTTCTGCCAGCCTTGCCTCAAAGACCCATAAATCTCGAAAGAGATGAAAAGCCACAGTTAATCTTGGACCCATGCAAGGCTGAACAGGCCTGGATAGGGGCTTGGGTCAGCCTGGTGCATGTCCAAGCAGAGTCCCTGGCAGCTGCTTGCTCCCACAACCCAAAATCACCACCTTGCCCCCGGCCAGACTCCACCATCTCAGGATAACCTCACCAAGATATAATCTGCAGAAAAATTGGGTATGAGGGTTTTGTGGCTGAAATCTCTAGGCTTTCTCGGGGTTGAAATCCCTACCTCCCCCCACATCTCTGTACTTCCAGAAGCCTTGGCAGTCATGTCCACACCCTGAAGCTGCCACCCAGTTAAAAAAGCTGTCCCAGCCTTACCTTCCTGATAAAAGTACTGAATACCCTGAACAAGCACAATGACCTCTTAGTATCTATATGGCAAACCACAATGCACAAAAAAAAAGAGAGAAAGAAGAAAAGTGCCTGCGATAGAGGCAGTTTGGAGGTTGGAGGTTGAAGGAAATGGACGAACATTGGTGGTGGAAAATGTACACTGGTGGAGGGATGGGTGTTGGATCATTTTATGTCTGAAACCCAATCGTGAACAGCTTTGTAATGATCTATGTCACTATTTTTCAATTTTAAAAAAAGCCTAAATAAGTAAAGCAAACTCTAAATCTCAAAGTTCAGTCAAAATCATAATTGCATTTGATTGCTTGTTGGTCCCTTTTCCATTGAACATAAGACAAGTATCTGAGCCCATTAAAAAGAAGAAAAATGGGAAGAAATTGTAACTCAAGAATGTTTTCCTAGAAGTGAAAAGGGAATTCATGGGTGCCTGTTCCATTAAATACAGAGTTTGCCCCATCAACCATAATAAATTCACAGCCATTCCATTGGATGTGATTGATGACGTGATGAAAAATCTGAAACATTCTATCTTAAAGGATGTTTTATTGTTTTGAGTACTATGTATTCATATATATATGTATATATATAAATTCATATATATGTGTATATATATATATATGATAGCACAGCTGGTAGGGCATTTGCCTTGCAGGCGCCAACATGGCCAACCCGAGTTCAATTCCTCTGCCCCTCTCGGAGAGCCCGGCAAGCTACTGAGAGTATCTTGCTCGAGCAAATCGATGAACAATGGGAGGACAGTGACAGTGAAGGTGTCAGTCAAACATTTTAGTGTGTTCAAAATGCAAATAACTCAATGTGTAAAATTATCTTTGTAACTCTAGTTTTAAAGTTTTTAATCTCTGAATTACATTTATTTAGTTGGAGATTTATTTTCCTTAAAGTTTCCCAGGTGGTAAATAAAAAAAATTTTTAAAAGTCCCATATGGCGTAGGTACCACATCCCACCTTCTCCGGATGGAACCCCGGTGACCATGAGCCTCTACAAGCGTAGCTCAGGAATGTGGGAACCAGGACTTTTATTCCAAACCATGTGGCCGCATAAGCAGCTCCGCTACATCTCCTTATATACAAAGTGATCAATGGAAAGCAGATCATCCAACGTTTCTCCCTGAAAATCAGGGTTAACTCTTTTAAAAATCACAATACCCAATAGGAGAGAGTGAACAAAAGGGAATGCCCTGCCATAGAGGCAGAGTGGGATGGGGGGATGGGGGGTGGGAGGGATAATGGGATCCGTGGTGATGGAAAACTGTCAGTGGTGGAGGGATGGGTATTCAAAATAAATAAATAAATAAATAAATAAAAATTTAAAAAAACATAAAGTTTCCCAGGTGGTTATTATTAACTTTAAACTTTAGAACAAATAATACATATTTAAATTTAGAAATTACAATAAAATTTATCTTACTAAGACAATCTATTTTCAAGGGAATGTATTTAGGATATAATAGTCATTCATGGAAAACAGTAAACTCAAAATTAGCGGACAATAAAATTTCAAAAAATGTATTTTAGTCACTGCTTTACAGTTTTACAGTACTACCAATGGTAGGATTTTATGTCTATAACATTCCAACGCCAAACTTCACACCAATATGTTGATTTCCCTGCACCATTGTCTCTGGATTCCCTCTTGGGTTTCCCTGCCTCAACTTTCCCCCCAGAGTCGAAGAATAAACTTTAAGATTTAAAGAATTAATGTACTTTTAAGGTTTTTTTCTTCACTGAAATTTTCTAACCCAACACATTTTTATGTCATTAGTAAAAAAATGCATAAGATTATCATTATGAAGTCATGAAATTTACATACAAGTGGTACTACATGGAACGTATCATGCTAAGTGAAATGAGTCATAAAGAGAGAGACAGACATAGAAAGATTGCATTCATCTGGGGAACATAAAGTAACAAAATAGGAGACTAAAACCCAAGAATAGCCGAGATAAGTACCAGGAGGTTTACTCCATGGCTTTAAGGCCAGCCGCACACAATAGGGGGAAAGGCAGCTCAGATAGAGAGGGCAGCACCAAATAAAGGGTGTTGGGAAGATCCTCCCAGAATGGGAGATGTATGCTGAGAGTAGACTATAAACTGAACATGATTGCCACTCAATGCCTCTTTTGCAAACCACAACACCCAAAAGGAGAGAGAGAACACAAGGGAATGCCCTGCCACAGAGGCAGGGTGGAATGGGGGGATGGGGGTGAGAGGGATACTGGGATTAGTGGTGGTGGAGAATGGGCACTGGTGGAGTGATGGGTACTCGATCATTATATGACTGAAACCCAAGCACAAAAAAATGTAAGTCTACAACTTCATGGTGTTTCACTAATAAAAATTTTTTTTTAAAAATTGTGAGTCTACAACTGTACCTCATGGTATTTCACTAATAAAAAATTTTTTTAAAAAGACTATCATTAATGTTTCTAATGTGAAAATTCTTGCAAGTATTTTAAAAGTTTGGACAGTACATTAGCGCTCAGGATCCCAGCAGTACTTGAGGGACCTTGTTGTGCTATGTATTGAACGAAGCATTTCCATATGCAGAGTGTGGACTCCAGTGCTTTGAACTGTCTCTTGCAGATATTTATGTTCTTAAATGTTATAAGAACCTTGTTAGTCAGTTTCACTGCATAAATATTAACACTGTTGTAAACTATGTTACTTTAAGTACTAGCAAATTTAAATGAATACGTTAAAACTGAGAATATTGTCAATAAAATTAACTTCTGAAGACATTTAAGATATTCAAGCTTTCACTGCAATGATCTTATTAATGCTATACTGTTATGTTCATTAAACCTCCCACTGTGACTTATAATATAGGCTAAAAATGACAAAAGCAAATCAAAATGAGGTTCAAACTGAAGTTTTAATTATTTTTCTTCATGTTTAATTATTTACATTGTCTTATTTGTTCCTTTTCTTAGGACCTGAGCAGCAAAGATATGAAGAGAGATTTATATATAGTTGCCCATGTGATACGAATAGGTACTGTACAACCTGATCCACTAACATGACTAAGACCAGCTCAACTTGGGATAATTATATATTATAAATGATCTTTATTATTTCAGATCCAGGTTTAGTGTCATTTGGGTTGGAATTCTATCTTAGTCTCAGCTGCTATGGTAACTGAGTTTTATATAAACGAATCTATTTTCCCCTCACTTGACACATTGTATTTCATATTTATATTTACCCAACCTTTTGTCTTAAGTGATCAGTTTTTGTTTTCATTCTCTCCATCATGATGTCTCAAGTGTTTTACCAGCCTTTTGCCTCAGAATTTTTAGAGAGGGTTTCTTGGATTGCTAACTTAACAGTAAATGGCCTTCAGTGTGTTTTTTTTATCCAAAAGTATGTAACTATACTTTTTCCACAAAAGTAGAGTTATAGTCATTACTATAGTAGATGGTGGTATCTAACCTCTATCCCACCCAGTGTGAAAGTTTTTGCTATTGCCCAGCTTAATTTCAAGTTTATAACATAATATATAGGGTATGGTTTACCAAATATTCTTTCATATATATTGTCATATCTTATATATTTTCATCAAAAATATTTGATGAGGGGCTGGAGCGATAGCACAGCAGGTAGGGCATTTACCTTGTATGCGGCCAACCCAGGTTCAATTCCCAGCATCCCATATGGTCCCCAAGCACCACCGGGAGTAATTTCTGAGTACATGAGCCAGGAGTAAACCCTGTGCATTGCTGGTTGTGACCCAAAAAGCAAAAAAAACATGATGAAGTAAAATTGTTTTATTTAGGAAATAGAAAGGAGAAAGAGACAGGGAAGGGGAAGGAGAGAAAAGGAGGAGAGGGCTGGAGTGATAGAACAGCAGGAAGGCATTTGCCTTGTACACATCTGACCCAGGTTCGATCCCCAGCATCCCATATGGTCCACCGAGCACTGCCAGGAGTAATTCCTGAGTGCAGAGCCAGGAATAACTCCTGAGCATTGCCGGTGTGGCTCAAAAATAATATAATAATAAAAAAAGATAAGGAGAGGAACAGAAAGAGGAAAAAGGGAGTTACATATTTGGGATGCAATTATTACAAATGTAATGTGCCCCCCAAATATTTTTAATCCTTCCCCAACAAATCACTAGCCTAGTATTTTGCCACACTTTTGCTTTTTGTTTTGTGTAGCTTTACTTAAACAATTTTGGGGAGTTCCAGTTTTCATTTGCAATTTTCCCTTGCCACAGTAGGCACAGCTTTGATAAGCAAGAAATATAAACTCTCACCCACTTTCTACTTATTCCAGCAGTAGTTCAGAAGCAAATTTGACAGCAGAATTTGGTTGGGAGAATAGAACATTGTTCTTTCTATCTGTGCATATATAGTTGTTAACCTGATAGCCAAATATTAAGCTTTGCATTCTTAATATGCCTCAGAAGTTTAAATAAATGTATGTATTGTTTTTTTTAAGAAATTCGTGAAATCAGTTTTTTTTTTCTCTCAGGTTACCATAATGGGTATTGGTTTAGGGGTAGGTTAAAAAGTTGATTGAGGGGCTGGAGCGATAGCACAGTGGGGAGGGCGTTTGCCTTGCACGCAGTCAACCCAGGCTCAATTCCCAGCATTCCATATGGTCCCCTTAGCACCTCCAGGAGTAATTCCTGAGTGCAGAGCCAAGTAACCCCTGTGTATTGCCAAGTGTGACCCAAAAAGCAAAAAAAAAAAAAAAATTGATTCAATGAAATGCTGGGAAGGAAATGAAATGCCGGGAAGGAACCCTGTTCAAAGGCCTGTTTGGTAATTCCTCCAGCATAATTTTCTTTGTTTGTTAATTTGGGGGCCACACCCATCAGTGCTCAGGATTTACTCTTGGCTCCATACTCAGGGATCACTCCAGGCAGGCTCAGGGGTACCAGGGATCACATCTGAGTCTGCCTCATACAAGGCAAGTGCTTTACCTACTATTTTATGGCTTTGGCCCCACTCCACATAATTATCTTTGCATCCTCAGTGCATCCTTTCCCCCAATCCTAAATTAGTCTTCTAATATAGCCCTGGCATTTTTGGATGACAGTAGATGAAGATCAAGGAGTCCTCATTCTTTCTGGTGTTTCCTTCTCTACCCCAGGCCGGATGCTTCTGAATGACTCAAAGAAAGGCCCTGCTCACCTGCACTATAGACGCCCATATGGATGTGCTGTTCTAAGCATCCTGGATGTCCTACAGTCACTCACAGAATTAAAGGAAGAAAAGGATTTTGTGCTTAAGGTTTACACGTGAGTAATATCATGAATATTAATAATTAGCAACATAAGACATAACAGCACTGTCCTTGAAAAGCAGCAGTTCTCTATGTCTTCTGGTACCCAGAATCATTAGGATATGTAGGATAGCAGTTGTGGGATTTTGTTTTGCTTTTCAGATGTTGCAAAGATTCTGATCAAAAGTTTGAAGGATGGAGGGATGGGCAGTGGGAGGGATACTGGGACCCGTGGTGGTGGAAAATGGGCACTGGTGGAGGGAGGGATGGGTATTTGATCATTGTATACTTGAAATCCAAGCACAAAAATTTGTAAGTTTACAACTGCACCTCATGGTGTTTCACTAATAAAAATGTGAAAAAACAAAAGTTTGAAGTCTGTGGTGAGACCCAGGTACCTGTGTTTTCAATTGGATTCTCAAGGTTATTCTGAATTGGTTGAATTTGGAAAACTTGGTGGTACATATTTCCTCTTCTATTCCAGATTAACCAGCCTCATTACTTAAAAACTAATAATGTAATTTCTCATGTGTCTTAGTTTTTAAAGTCTTCTATATTTAATACTTTTACCAACTATTGTAACTGATAATACTGATCATGACTACTGATGCAGGTATCTTCAGACATTTATTTCAAGTCTAGTGTCCTGTCTTTGAAGAAAAGCCAGTTTTTCTCAGGAGCTGAGGTTTTACTATTCACTTTTGCAGCAAATGTATGACAAATCTTCTAAGTTATATCCAACCAGACAAGGAATTATTTTTAGTATTCATCAGCCAATAGATCTGCCATATAGAAGCAGTATATTTGTTACTTGTTCCTATAAAGCAAATAGGGAGAAAAAGAATAAAGTTGTAGAATCCTTTATCATCTTCAGGATTGAACCAGGGTCAGATGCATTTAATTGCAGGGTAGGTGTCTTACTTACCCCCTGTACTATCTCTCTGACACATCTGTCTCTCTTTATAAATACTTAAGGCATGAAGAGAGTAATCATGAAAAAAAGAAAATTTAGCAAGTTTTGAAAACAACTGAATTTCTAATTGGGAATTTTTAATCAGTTTTTGGTTTTAACCCAATATTGTTTTTTTTCAAATAAAATCTAATATTGTTAATTATGATATTGGTATATCTTCAATATAGTATTGTAATGGATATTTTTGTATTAAATGATCTCTTCATTTCAGGTATTAATTTAATTCAGGATTATACTTAATTTGGACTTTTATATAGAGCCTACCACAGTTAATAAAAAACTAAATCCCAAATCTCCTCATAGCCTTTTTTGACAAGCTCTGTTTGTATACATTATGGATAAGTATATTTATTTTAGATAGTAACTTATAAATCAGATTTTTCGGTGGTTCTTCTCTTTCTTTTGTGTATCAATCACAGACTTTCTCACTATATCTAATCTCTGCATTTATTGCTGGTAAGATCTTCTTCTTGATATACTTTCCTCCCTTTGAAAATGTCTAAAAGAAATCCAAAATCATCATTATTATTATATTATTCCACTCTATCCTTTCCAAGAACAAGGAATTTATAGATAGCACTCCAGATTGCATCTTTTTGCATGTATCAGCTTTTTTTTTTTTTTTTTTGCTTCAGTGCCTGTTCTTATTGTAGATAGCGGCTTGCACAGCATTCCTCTTGAAATCATGCTGTCAGGCTTAAGTGACCTAACTGCTTCTAAAAACAACCGCTTTCAATACTAACATGTCACTTTGCAAGAAGTGGTATTTATATGTTGCTTTTTCTTAGTTGTGCCTCTGAGCTATACCTAATAATATTAGTTCTGTAGAGACAATGGTGTTTTTATGTAGCACTGTCCTCCCACTGTTCATTGATTTGCTTGAGTGGGCACCAGTAACATCTCCATTGGGAGACTTGTTGTTACTGTTTTTGGCATATCGAATATGCCAGGGGAAGCTTGCCAAGGCTCTGCCGTGTGGGTGGGATACTCTCGGTACCTTGCCGGGCTCTCCGAGAGGGACAGAGGAATCAAACCCAGGTCAAGGCAAATGCCCACCTGCTGTGCTATCACTCTAGCCCTGGTGTTTTTATAGAGAAGATAAATAATAAAAATAAAGACCCTCCTGTTGTTCATCGATTTGCTCGAGCGGGCCCAGTAACGTCTCCATTGGAGACTTTGTTGTTACTGTGTTTGGCATATGGAATACGTCATGGGGAGCTTGCCAGGCTCTGCCGTGCGGGCGAGATACTCTCGGTAGCTTGCCGGGCTCTCCGAGAGGGGCAGAGGAATCGAACTCAGGTTGGCTATGTTGGCTGCGTGCAAGGCAGACACCCTACTGCTGTGCTAGCGCTACCGCTGTGCTACCGCTAGCACAGCGGTAGGGCGTTTGCCTTGCACGCAGCCAATAGAGAAGATATTTTTTAAAAAAAGTTTAAGAACCAGCAGGGTTAAAGTGCAGAATAAATTTTCCACTTGGAAATATTAACAGGTTTTCAAGCAGCTTCCAGTTGCATGTTTATGAAATTGATTTTGTGTGTAGTATGGGTTTTTTCTAGGATTAGTGTTTTAAATGCACATCAGCACAGTGATACAGTCTCAGAAGCAGCAATTTTTTTTTTCAGTATGTTTCAGGGGACACATTTGTTATATTGAATTGAAAGCTTACAGGGTTTACTAACTGCTGCTTATACCACTTAAGTCTTTGCAAGCATAGGATTGTGCAAGGATGAAAGCCTCATTTATTGGGTCAAGAATATGGCTCAGTGATATAATATATGTATGCCTCATATGTGTGAAGACTTGAGTCTGATTCCCAGAACCACAAATATAAATGTATAATGAATTGGCAAAATATAGCAATATCTCATCATTACTTTCATTATTCTGAGACAGTCTTATCCAGGGAAGATTTAAATTTCTTTATGTTTTATTATTTTTACTGATTTATATATATATTATTTAATATCATGTGTATACAAGAATGCCCCAAAGTCTTTTAAGAAAATCACAGCAAGTACTCAAGACCTGAAAATTAGGTCGCTTACTAATGAACAAAATGCCTTTAAAAATCACAGATAGTAATTACATGCAGTTTAGTCTGATATAGATCTCATGTTAACTCTTCGCTTAAGGGACAAGAGTAACAAGCAGACCAGAGCTTGCTGAACTGTATCCTAGAACACAAAAGGAAAGAAAGACCAATGATCAAAAGCTTTCATTGGGGAAGAATTAAGAAATGTTCATAAATAATCCATGTGAGGGGCCAAAGTGATAGTATAGTGGTTAGGGCATTTGGCTTGCATGCCGCAAACCCAGTTCAATCCCCAGCACCACATATGGTTCTGTAAGAACCAGGAGTAATCCCTGAGCACCACTGGGGGTGACCCCCCCCAAACGAAACAAAACAACAAAATATATGTGATTTTGTTCCCTCAATGTGTGGTGATCACTCTCCAGCTTCACAATGAAAAAATCCAAATAAACATTTCTAGTGCAATAATAGACTATTTTATCAGTTATATTAAAAACCATTTTATATGGTAAAGGTAAAGGTAAAGGCCCTCCCGTTGATCGTCGATTTGCTCGAGCGGGCCCAGTAACGTCTCCATTGGAGACTTTGTTGTTACTGTGTCTGGCATATCGAATACTCTCAGTAGCTTGCCGGGCCCTCCGAGAGGGGCGGAGGAATCGAACTCGGGTCGGCCATGTTGGCCGCGTGTAAGGCGAACACCCTACCGCTGTGCTATCGCTCCAGCCTGTATTATATACTAGTCAATTATATATATTATGTAAAATTGAGAAATGTTTTCCTGGCACCCTTTGAGCCTCTTGGATTTTGGTGCCTGTAATCCTCAACTCTGGGAAATTCTTACCAATGATTGCAATCCTCAACTCTGGGAAGTTTTTATCAGTGATTAATTATTGTTTCTTCACATTTGCCTTTCTGTTCTTCAGGGATTCCAATTATTCTTATATTGTTCCTCTTGAACTCATCTCATAATTCTACAGTTCATTTCTTTTCAGACTATTTTCCGCTTTTTGTGGTCCTAACAGTTTCCTCCTTCTCATCATGGAACACTTCAATCTTTTACTCAGCTTTTGTTGTTTTGTTGTTAAGAGCTTCTATTGACTTTTTAGATATCACCAACCACGTTCTTCATTTCTGTCATTTCTGACTATAATAACTTTTTCATTTTGACTCTTATACTTTCTTGGACTGGAGTGATAGCACAGCGGGTAAGGCGTTTCCTTTGCATGCAGCCAACCTGGCCAACCCGAGTTTGATTTCTCCACCCCTCTTGGAGAGCCCAGCAAGCTACCCAGAGTATCTCACCCGCAGGGCAAAGCCTGACAAGCTACCCATGATGTATTCGATATGCCAAACACAGTAATAAGAAAGTCTCACGATGGAGACATTACTGGGCCCTCTCGAGAAAATCGATGAACAACGGGAGGACAGTGACAGTACTATAAGGTAAAGGTAAAGGTAAAGGCCCTCCCGTTGATCGTCGATTTGCTCGAGCGGGCCCAGTAACGTCTCCATTGGAGACTTTGTTGTTACTGTGTCTGGCATATCGAATACTCTCGGTAGCTTGCCGGGCTCTCCGAGAGGGGCGGAGGAATCGAACTCGGGTCGGCCATGTTGGCCGCTTGTAAGGCGAACGCCCTACCCGCTGTGATTATGTATAATTTATACATCCCCTTTTTTCTTTATTATTGTACTAAAACAATCATGTTTAACTTGTAAGAAATAGTTTAAAAGTTTAAATGTTTGTTTCAGGAGCACACCTGGTCATGATTAAGGCTCACTCCTGGCTTTGTTTTCAGAGATCACTCCTGGCTGACTCAGAATTGCAAAACAAGCGCTCTATGCACTGTACTATCTCTTTGGCTCCAAAGTTACATTTTTTAATAAATAAAAAGATAGCTTAAAAGTTATCCAGAATGAATCAGATTGGATAGTTTGTGTCAGGTTCATCTTAGAGACTTTCTTCAATTAGTACTTGATGAAAATAAAGAAATGTGTGCTATTTTTTCATCTTTATTCTTTTTCTTCTTGTACTCTATAAGAGCTATATGAAACTGTACTCAGCATCAGTATTTTTAAATCCCTGGGCTGGTGCATCAGTTCTATTTTATTATAACTTGGAACCAAAGGCCAAAATAAAGGCTGATCACACCCAAACTAGAATTTTAATATGTAGTGTTTGCATTAAATTAAGCTCTGAGCCAGTTAAGACCAGTTGCAGCTATGTAAATACAAACAAAATGGGAATGCTTCCAGTTATCATGAAGCAGGGTGTAGGAGTAAGTTAGAGTAACGTTCAGCCGCTCCATTTCCATCCCACTTATTCTGCTTTTGGGTCCACCATATATCTCTGCTTTGCCTATGTCTCTCCCATAATCACCTGTAGAATGAACATAATACATATCACATAGGATTATAAGAACTTAATGAAATAAATTATGGTAAATAGCCCAGCCATTTCCTTCCATTGGTATCCTTATGAGAATGCACACATAAAACTTTATAAATAACTCTAAGTTTTCTTAGATGCTTATATGGATTGCTTACTTCAAACTGAATTACAGATAAAACTGAGCGACACCCATCAGAAGCATAGAAATCAAAAAATATGAGGAAAGATGAAAATGGTGAATGAAGTTTGGCACATGAGAAAATAAGAATAATATTCCGAGCTCTTTGTCAAGCAGCACACCTGCTCTGGTGCTTCTGAATCCCATGTTGAAAACTAAACTCTTTATCCCTAATCTCATTTTGTTTAAGTAAAAGCCTTCATGTAGTGGCTGAAGTGTCATTTCATTGCTTGTTAGCTCCTTTGTGGAGAAAGTGAATTGCTATAGAGGCAAATAGGCCTCTTTCAATCACAATCCTTCTTGCATCTTATGATTGAGGAAAAACTATAAGTATCAGTAATTATGCTCTAAATATTAATTTGATTGGATGCAGCATAATCATGCTTCATTATAATCAAACTAATGCTTACATTTATAATTTTTCCATATAAGTTACACCCAGTGATTGGGCTAGTTAATATAGGATTACAACACCATATACACTTAGTTGCAGATGATTTCAGTAGCTCCTCTTTGTATTTTGGAAAGAGATATATGAAAGGCAACTAGACATGGCTATTTTGATTTAGAAGACAGGATACTGCTTTAAAAAAAAGGAAAGAGGAAGGTCTGATATGACAGGTTTTAATACGGCAAAATGTATAGAATGTGGTGAGAGCTAGAGGGTTCTGGTTTAGAGACATAGTGGGTTTCACCCAGGGATCTCTGGAAGCAATGTGGGGAGAGTTCTCTTATGAAAATGCAGTCTTAAAAGTTCCTCAGAATGACTCGGGACTAGAAACTTATTTGGAATTTGGCAGCTTTTGGTGGTGATTAAAACTCTTAGAGTAGATGAAATTGCTCAGGAAAGCTTCTAGAGTAAGAAAGAAGTGGGTTAAAGGCACAACTGTTAAGGGCATAATTGTGCAAGAGGAAACGAAGAGGAATAGCAAGAAGAAGGTGGTTGTCTCATCGATGAGTTATATGGGTTGAGTGAAAAGGTGTATATGAATAAAATAATGTGCCTTATCACTTTTGATGTGGTTGACAAAGCACCATCCCCTTTATGCTACTTAACCCCCAATGAGTGTGTTATTGGAGAAATACTGAAATTAGATCATATATGGGAAGGATGTAATTAACTTTAGATACTGTTTGCTTGAATATGTCTCCTTGTAGAGGGAACATGAGAGGGAACCAAGAGCCTCACAACATGAAACATATGCTCTACTACATCCAGGCCTCCAAATCCATCTTTTGAAGAAAGGGGAAATTTGTCATAGCAAATAGTCAGGCTTCTGTTAAAGAAAGTAACTGCTGATCTTGTAAACCTAGAACATGACAGAAATCTGATTATAAGTTAGTTCTTTGAGTTCTCACCAGCTGGGCACTTACTTCTCTGATGTGTTGTCTGGTTGGAAGAGATGGGACTGTGTGCATGTCAAACAGAAATGACTGAATGGACTTCTGCCAGCACCTCTCATTTTTTATTTCGAACTGAGCTGTTAAAACACAAATGATAAATTTTAAAGTTAACTCTCTCCCTTTCTTTGTATGGAAGAAATTCTACAAACAGGAAACTATCCTCACAGCTCTGAAATGTGAAACCTCATTTTTCAAAATTCAGTGTAGCATCTCTGTGTCAGAGGGATTTATTTATACTATGGAGTTGAAAGGCCAATGATTGAACAACAAAATCAGTTTGTGACCAACATCTCTGAATTGCCTCTATACAAGCCCTTTTATTTAGAAAAATGTGTTTCACACTGCTGTTCAGCAACTGAGAGTACTATTATTGGGATCCCCACTTGGAAGTCGCTGTGCTGCATTGAACGTTTCTGAGTATACATAGAACTACCCTGGGGTTATTCTTTGTAAGGGGGTCCTGTTTTCTGAAGTCAGTGGCTCCATATATACCTATCCAACAGGCAAGGGATAGAATCAGGCTATGGAAATTCTACATCAAATGGAGTATTCACTGACCTCATTCTAATTGTTTTATCAATATATCAGCATTAAGATGAGGAATTCATTATTTCTAACTAAACTGTACAGTGTTATGCTGAGTGAAGTCAGTCAGAAAGAAAGGGACAAGTTATTATACAGTTACGATCCGTCTCATATGTCGAACTGTAAGATACACAGTGAAATAGCAACAAAGATCCAAAGGCAATATGAAGAATTTTCTGCAGAACTCTCCACGGCATTGAAGCTAAAAGTATCTTTAAGGATGAAACAGCACTGACCATGCAAGAGGAAGCAAACATAAACAAATGGGACTACATCAAACTAAGAAGCTTCTGCACTTCAAAGGAAACAGTGACCAAAATACAGAAAGAACCCACAGAATGGGGAAGAATATTTACCCAATACCCATATAATAAGGGATTAATATCCAGGATATACAAGACACTAGTAGAATTGTACAAGAAAAAAACCTCCAATCCCATCAAAAAATGGGGAGAAGAAATGAACAGAAGTTTCCTCAAAAAAAAGAAATAAAAATGGCCAAAAGGCACATGAAAAAATGGTCCACATCGCTAGCCATCAGGGAGATGCAAATTAAAATAACAATGAGATATCATCTCACACCAAAGACACTGGCACACATTCAAAAGAACAAAAGCAACCAGTGTTGGCATGGATGTGGGGGGAAAGGGACACCTTTTTACTGTTGGTGGGAATGCCCACTAATCCAGCTTTCTGAAAAACAATCCTCCAAAAAATAGAAATTGAGCTTCCTTATGACCAAGAAATACCACTTCTCAAAATATATAACATGAGGCTGACACCTAAGGATAGTAGATACACGGAACAGGTAAATTGCTCCATAGCTAGAAGCCTGCCTCATGAGCAAAGGGGAGAAGGCAGCTGGAATAGAGAAGGGATCACTAAGAAAATGATGACTGGAGAAATCTGTCGGGATGGGAGATGTGTGCAGAGAGTAGATAAAGGACCAAACATGATGGCCTCTCGGTGTCTGTATTGCAAACCATAATGCCCAAAAGTAGAGAGAGAGAGTATGGGGAATATTGTCTGCCATGGAGGTGGGGGGAGTGTGAGGGGGGGTAAACTGGGATATTGGTGGTGGGGAATGAGCACTGGTGCAGGGATGGGTGTTTGATCATTGTGTGATTGCAACCCGAACATGAAAACTTGTTACTGTCTCACGGTGATTCAATAAAATTAAAAAAAAAGAATTTTCTGCAGGTGACTAGTATAATGATAGTAGAATGATAATATGATAATATGAAGCCAATACAAAGTATGGTGATTTCTAAACAGTAGTACTTGTCAAGTGGTGTTATTTTCTTTGTCAGGAACTTTCCTCTGGGGTTATATGCATGCATGCAATTGTATCAGATCAAGACAAAAGACAAGGCATCAGGCAGGAAAGTGCTACTTCAGAGAGTAGACTATCATAATGTCACTTTAAAATAGTTGTAAAGATTCATTTAGAATGTCTGATTTCTCCCAAGTGTTAATCTTACATTTGCCATAACAGGAATCAAGACTTTAGTTAAATATAGGTTCATCTTTGTAGGAAAAATAATTTGAAGTTTTCTTTCAAACTTAGTGTTAAAAATTGGAATATCAAAGTCTGTGTTTAAAATATTTAACAGTCATTTAATTTATGTACTTCTGTTGCAGGTGCAACAATGAGAGTGAATGGTCCCAGGTCCACGAGAATATCATCCGCAAGTCCAGTGCCAAGTACTCTGCCCCCAGTGCTAGCCATGGTGATGTACTTCTCTGGATAGAAAACTCTGTGTTTCATTTGCAATTGCTGGTCACATGTTTCTCTGTTGATTTGTTGTCACTAGTTGCCATACACAAAGTTCAGTTCTCTACAGACATTTATTCTCATGCCTAGGCACTTCCTGTTACTTATTTTTGTTCCATTTTGAGAGCGTCCCTAATTGCTTCTAGCCAAAATACATTTTCTGTTCTGTGATGGATTCCATGCACTTTGATACATAACTTGAATTCCAGTTTAAATTTACAATGAATTTACAATGAAAAAGTGTTGCATTTGAAGTGGTTTGACACATTGTTAAGTCTCTGCTTTCCTGAGCAAAGATTATACACTGAATACCCAACCCTTAAAAAGATGATATTGATGTAATTTTTCAGTTCCTGTTTAGTGTTAGTATCATCACCAAAAAATATAGATGCTAAAGAGAAGATCAGTGAGTGGTGTGCCGGTATCAGTCATGTATGGACTAGAATAGGAAATCTTTATTTTAGAATTGGGGGTGAAGAGAGCTGGGAGGGAACTGGGGTGGGGTGGAAGAAAATCTTTGTTTCTGAGCAGCTTTCATTTTAGCTCAGCTTCCCCTTTTCCTTTTTACTACACTAAATAATTGCTTAAATAGTAAAGGTAAAGGTAAAGGCCCTCCCGTTGATCGTCGATTTGCTCGAGCGGGCCCAGTAACATCTCCATTGGAGACTTTGTTGTTACTGTGTCTGGCATATCGAATACTCTCGGTAGCTTGCCGGGCTCTCCGAGAGGGGCGGAGGAATCGAACTCGGGTCGGCCATGTTCGCTCCAGGGCTTAAATAGTAATCTATCAAAATAATTTTATCTGTAAATACTCAATGCAATTAGTCATGGAAAAAATACTGTTTGGGGGCCAGAGATAGTACAGGGGTTAAGAGACTTGCTTTGCATACAATCAACTCTGGTTCTAAGCCCAGTACTGCATTATCCCCAAGCACCACCAGGAGTGATACCTGAACACAGAGCCAATATTAGACCTTAAGCAGCTGCCCGTGTGGTCCAAAACTCCAAAAAAGGGATTAAGGGGAAAAGAAAAAAAAACAATGGGGCCAGAATAATAGTACAGTGGGTAGAGTGCTTCCCTGCCTTGCATGTGGTCAACCTGGGTTCAGCTTCCAGTTCCTCGTGTGTCCCCAGAGCCCAACAGGAGTGATCCCTAAGCACAGAGCCAGAAGTCCTGACCACTAGGTATGGCCAAAAGCAAACAAACAAAAAACACTGTGTTTTCTAAATTTCTTTCATTGAATTAGAACTATTTAAGTACCTCTGAGTCTTTATACACCCTTGAAGATAACTATAAAATGTACATAGAATTGTGTTATTCTGAATTTTTAATCTCTAAACTATGTCTTATCCTCTTTTACATAACCTTCTTTTTAAGGTTTATGATCTTGTCTATATTAGCAAGCCTTAAGTAACAGTTTATTTATTTAGTTAATTTTTGGGGAGGCCACACCTCAGGATGATCCTCAGAGCTTACTCCTGAGTTTGAGCTCGGGGATCTCTTCTGGTAGGAATTGGGGATAGTGTGCTGAGGGTGGAACCTGGGTCAGTCTTGTGGACAAGCACCCTACCAGCTACACTGTCATTCCAGACCGTTTCAGTAACAGTTTAGAGTCACTGCAAAGCATGAAAATTTGCAGTTATTGAGAACTTCTTTATCCTTATTCTCTTTCAGGATCAGCTGGTAGTCCGTTAAGTGGTTCCTCAGAGCAGTTTCATACCAGAAGCTGCAAGGGTTAAGACCCTTAGCTGGAAATATTTGATTTCTTTAAAACTCTTTATAGCAGTGTGATCCTTAGATCCTTAGAATGGCTCTCACTATTTTGAATCCCTTATGCATATGCCTATGTGCCAAGTCTCCATGCTGTTGCTTGGAAGTAGGAGTTCATATTCCTTCCTAAAACTAGACTAAAGCAAGAGAAAAATAAAATCTTATTTTTTAAATGTAAAAAAAGTTACTACCAATTTGAAAAACTACTGTTCAGTATTTATAGTGGTCTTTCTTTACTTACTTGATTTGTAAAGAGAAACCCTTGTCTATACGTTCTTGGGACATGGTATTAAAATATGAGGACTATCTTTAAAGAGAGATGGTATAAATAGTATATTTAAAAAATAGCTTAATGGACAGATGGTAGAAATGTCACCCTCAGGGTTAAGTTGTTGAGTTTTGTTTTACTCCCTAAATCAGGAGCCATAGAAAATTCAGTTTGGAAATGCGCTCATCCTCTGATTCAAGGGTATTAGACTTCACAGGGCTCAGTTAGAATTGTCAAATGAGAAAAGGTTTTCATGCACATACAGAAGAACTAAGAAGTAAAATAGGGCGATTGACTTGGAGATCAAATTAAATAACTTTTCATTAAATGAGAAAAATTGAAGTACATTTGAATGACTTAATAGATGGACCTTGGAAACTCCATAAACTGGCCCATCCAGTTTATTACCAAAATTCTAAACGTTAGGTTTCCATTACTGGACTTAGGAATTTTGAACCAAGGAATTAAGAAAATTCTAAAAAGAATATTCAGGTATTTATTAGTGTCTTTCAGTAAAAATAAATAGTTTTATTAATCATTAATTTGCTTTGTTATCAATGGCATTCATTTTGATAGCATCATAAATAGTTCATTTTATTGGTAGTTCTGTTTCTTAAAGACTTCCCCTTTGAGTAAAATCATATAAAAATGCAGAAAGAATTGCTCCATTGGTTTTTGAGTTCTCACTAACTCTCCTAGGTTTAATTTTTGTGGCTCATTTTCTTTTTAGTCTCTTATATTTGCATCCACAAACCTAATTTTAGAAATCCCAGTAGCATATTGAGAACAAATGATGACAAATAAAATAGTTGACATCTTGGTTTAGGATTTGGTTATAGTTTTTGAGCCATACCCCGGAGTAATCAGAGGCTACTCTTGACTCTGTGAACTAGTGCTTTGGGGACCATATGTGGTGCAGGGGGATCAAACAGGGTCATCTGCATACAACGTAAGCACCTTAACCCCCGTATACTCTGTGTGTGTGTATTTTTATTGGCTGTTTATTATGACTTGTTTACATATCTTGGATTAATCTTAATTTGTATTATTAATCCTTATCTGCCTTTTACACTGAAGATGGGGTGGAAAGATGCAACACTAGGTTGCTGGCCCTCCATTATTACACATGAGTCAGTTTTTTCAGTCACATTTTTATCAAGTAGTCTTCAACCTGAGATGAAATCATTATGAAAACAGTTTTCTTGCATCAGGAATAAGATTAACAGAGAAATATTAAATTGACCTAAGTGCTTTCTTTTTCAGTTATTTATTCACTTTCCACAATTTTCAATCCTATCTGAGTTTTTGTGGTCAACTTCACACACTGATACATGCATATACTACATCCACCCACAATTATAGTTGTAGTTCCATTTACCAGCACCAATTTTACTCACTTAACTCATTTAAAACTGTCCACTTTGTCACTTACTTTATACTTTCTGCCTTATTTTCACTTAGCATGATCACCGAAATTTCCATTCATGTTGTCAGATAGAAAAATTTCATCAATAGTGGATAGTTCTTTTATTCTCAACAACAGAGAAAACAAACTGTTTCCAGAATTTTCATAGGCCATTTTTATAATTGTGGGGTAATATTTCACTGTGACTTTGAGTTCCTTAATAATAAAGGATACTGAATTTTTTTTCATATGCCTATTTTCCATATGTGTATCTTATTTGGAGAGTGTCTATTAAATATTCTGCCTACATTTTCATTGGTTTTTGTTGTTGTTATATGTATCAGATATTCAATCCTTTGTTGGATATTTGATGTAAAAATATCTGATTTCAGTTAATAGGTAGCACTTTTATTTTTAAGCTTTCTCTTCTTCCATCCACTAGGGTTCCCAGGTTTCCTTCCACATACCCCTACCCCCAATCTCCAACCTTAATAGGCACATTTTTTAATTTGATTGTTGAAGTTTGGATCTCTTGTGTGGTTTAGATATTTAGCTATAAGTGGTGCTTTTTTCATAGTACAGAAGTATGTTGTTTGATGAAATACCATTTGTTTATTTTTCTTTTGGTTTCCCTTTCATTGACATTAAGTACCCAAATACATCTCTAACAGTGATGACCAAGAGTGTAGCCTATGTTTTTTCCTTATTTTATAGTTTCAAGCCCTATATTTAAGTTTTTTATCAATTTTGAGTTCACTTTTGTGTGTGATATTAAATAGGGAAGCAGTCCTTATAGAAAAAACAAGAATAAAAATGAAGGTATTATGCTCCAAAACTTCAGAATATACCAGAAAATGATGATAATCAAAAGTGCGTGGTATTAGAACAAAAAAGATATAGTGACCCATGGAATGGAATTGAAAGCCCAGAAACAACACACACATATATATGAACAGTTAATTTATGATGAAGGAGCCAAGAAAAAACTTCCACAAATGGTGTGTTGAAAAGCCTGGTACAGCCACATGCAAAAAAAAATAATAAAAACAAAAATATAGTTCATTAGACTTGAATACTTTTAAGTACTTTTTCTTAAAAACTAGATTATTGGTAACACCAAGTGTCGCTAATGGACAGTTTTCCCAGAAAATGAGATGACCAGTCAGTGGGCACATAAATAATTCCTTGCCTGTGTAGAATGACTTGAGTGTATCCATTGGTATTTTTTTTTCTTTTTTGCTTTTTGGGTCTCACCCGGCAATGCACAAGGGTTACTCCTGGCTCACGCACTCAGGAATTACTCCTGGCGGTGCTCAGGGTACCATATGGGATGCTGGGAATCAAACCTGGGTCGGCCGTGTGCAAGGCAAATGCCCTACCCACTGTGCTATCGCTCCAGCCCCATCCATTGGTATTTTTTTCCTTTCATCTCCAACCAACAACTCTGATTCAAGAAAATGTTCCATCCTCATCTCTCTGATACATGTATAGCTAACCCCTTAAATCAGTGTATTCCTGTGATCATCTAATGGATGAAATTAGGCATAAAAATATTGCAGATAAATGAACTAGAGTTGTGGTAGAGATAAAGAGATACCCTTCAAGATTGCAGACTCATAAAACAATTGTGGTTCAGTGAACCAGCTAACTAGTCTATAACATATATGGACCATCATATGTGTAATTCTAGGGCGTTGGGGGGCAGCATAAGTTTAACTGGAGCAAGAGGTTACCTTGAGGTTCTACGAGTCTTGTAGAATTTTTTTTCATGGTTCAGTTGTGAAAATGCTTGTTCTTAATCACTGGGATACATTGATAAGAAGTTATAGTGTAACTCAGTAGTAGAGCCCTTGTCTTTTTGTGTGAGGCCCTGGGTTTGATCCCTGGTCCTCCAGAGTACTTTCATCTGCCAAAATGGTGTATATGACTCCTCTCTCTGACTTCTCATTATCCACTCCTCATCCTCTCTTCATTATGTATTTGCATATTTTTTTTTATTTTCTTGTGCCAGTGATGAAAACAAATTATATTATTACCAGAGCGATAGTACAATGGGTAGGGCATTTGCCTTGCACATAGCTAACCCTGGTTTGATCCTTGGCATCCCATATCATCAAGAGCAATTCTTGGGTGTAGGGCCAAGAGTAACCCCTGGTCATTGCCTGGTGTGACCCCAAAATAAATAAATAAATGATGAAAAATAAAATAAAACAAGTTCTCATGCATGCAAGGCAGCTACTTTACCACTGAATCACATCCCAGAGTCATGCAGACCATTCTTATTCTACAATTCCACATGGTACTGTCTCTATTGTAGACATTTTTACAATTGTCCTATAAATTCTAATTGCCCTTCCCTCATTTCTAGATCTTTATCTTCTTATCTCCTAAGTTCCTAGATCAGTAAAGGTGCTTCCTGCTGATTCATATATCAGCACCTAAATTAAATATTATATTAGCCATTAATCTTATGCAGTAGTATCAGAGGCTCTCCTTAATCATCTAGCCTTGATTTCACAGCCTTCTAGCCAGTTGTTAGAGTGGTGAGTCATGTGGCAAGGAAGAAAGTGGTTTCTAGGATATTATTACTTTACTTCATGAAAAAAATCCTAAGAACAAGAGATCATATTGCCTGAAAAAAACATTATAATTTAACCTCACAGAAGCACCCTTTTCCTTGTACCACACTGGTTCCTTGCAAGGGGATGATTGGGATGTGATGGGTGATTTGTTGCTTCCTTTACAAGTCATTGCAAGGTTGACCCAGCAAATTGATTCCCATATTTTTACATACTCCTAGCATAAATTAATGCCTTTTAGACTACAAAATCAGTACACAAAATCTTTTGCATTTCTGTATGAAAATAATGAACTAAAAGAGAAGGATAAAAAGAGTCTACCCCATTTAAAATAGTGCCCCCAGATTCAAATACTTAGGAATCAACAAAGAATGTTAAAGAGCTATACAATGACTGTAATCACTCATGAAAGAAATAGAAGAGGACAACAGGGAGTGGAAAAAAATATTCTGTGTTCATGGATTGGTGGTATTAATATTGTCGGAATACCTATCTCATCCAGAAAATTATACATATTTAATGCAATTCCCTCAAAATCCCAATGACATTCAAAATCCCAATGACATTCTTTTTTTCCTTTTTGTGCCACACCCAGAGATGCACAAGGGTTACTCCTAGCTTTGCACTCAGAAATTACTCCTGACGGTGCTCAGGGAACCATATGGGATGCTGGGAATTGAACCCGGGTCGTCCACATGCAAGGCAAATGCCCTACCCACTGTACTGTCGCTCTAGTCCCCCCCCATGACATTATTAAGAAAATTAAACATTAAAGTTTTTATAGATGCATAAAACCCAACAAATACCAAAACTATCTTGGGGTGGGGGGCGGGAATTAGGGGAAAGATTTGGAGATCTCACACTTTCTGACTTTATAATAGTAAAGAATTTTATTTTAGTAAAAATAGTAAAGTATTTGATTACTCTAGTAATCAAAATAACATGATACTGGAATAAGGATAAGATGACAGACCAATAGATTCTGATCTGTTGGTCAATTCTGATTGTGCATCCACTGATAAATCCTCAGATATATGAACAATTAATCTGTGATAAAAGCATTGGGTGCACGAAATGAAGCAATAATAACCACTTTAGCAAATGGTGTTGTGAACACTAGATACCACTTATAAAAAAACTGAAGCTATCTTTGTCTCATACCATACAAACAAAGAAGACCAAAGACCTAGATATTAGACCAGAAACCATAAACTATATTGAGAAAAACATTGGCAGAACTCTCCAGGATCTCAACATCATAGGGTTCTTCCATGATCCATTGGCAAAGGTAACACAACCAAAAATTAGCAAGTGGATTATATAAAATTGAAGGTTTATGCATGGCAAAAGAAATGGGTTAAATTAAAAAGATACCCAGCTGACTTTAACTTAGACACATGTCTAAATTAAAGAACTAACATACAAAATCTATAAGGCACTTATAAAGTTCTTTTGTAGAATATTTCTTTGGAATAAATGTATAATTTCTTCATCAAAAATTTTCTCCTAAGATACCTGGTTTTTTCATAGAAAACTGTGACTATGTCTTTTCTCGTGTCATAATACAGGTTATAAGTGCGGTTCTGAGTAAGAAAATGCTTTTTATTTTTGCAGGTCTTATTATTTCTCTGCAGCTTCTTCGTGGAGACATGGAACAGATTAGGAGAGAAAATCCCATGATATTTAGTAGGGGATTGGCAATAACAAGAAAATTGGGATTTCCTGATGTTATCATGCCAGGTAAGTAGAATTTCTAGGGCCTGGAGTAGGAAAAGGATAGGAGAATGAAATCCAGTGCTACTCTCATGAGCAGGTAGTGAACTATCCTGTGGAGTCCTTCAGTCATTAAAGCCTCTGCATTCTAAATCACATTGCCGATGAGTCTTCAGCCTTTCACTCCTTTGACTCCTGTTGATATTTGTTCTTTTTCCAAAGCCCACCACATCACATTCATCCGTGAAACATGACAGTTAGCAAACGAACTTTGTTGTCTTCTATGGAGATTAGATGGTGGCAGCCAACAAGTAACTCTTCATGGCTGTGAGTTGCTTTTCTCCAATTACATTTCATAGAAGAGGATTGGCTCACAAAAGCTTCATTTAGAGGAAGAATATACAAAATTATGTGCAGTATCAGTGAATCCTACATGAAACCAATTCATATACTAGAAGATTCATTTAATGTAATAGGAAGATGGATAAGACAAATGGTAGAAATTAGACATTGTGATTGCCTGCCTGTTCTATCTCACCCCAATCCTCTCCTCTGATATCTAGTGGAGAGTCAAGGCAGAAAGTGGGAATGCATTGACCCTCAAACGTAGTTCCAGTTTACCAATCTCGTGTTCATGATTTCTAGTCAGGAAAATGCAAGTAAAACTGAAAAAGTGGATACAAACAAGCTATCAGAACCTAGGGGCTGTATGGAATTGGGGAAGAGTAGAAACCTGTCTCCAGTGAATGACAGGTGGTAGGATAATCAGAGAAACTATATACAAGGATAGGAAAATCAAAATGTAAATACATGATTTATTGAATGGATTACAGGAGCATTGTAGCACTGTTTCTCCCATTGTTCATCATTTTGCTAGAGTGGGCACCAGTAACGTCTCAAAACAAATTGTGAGAATTGTTGTTACTTTTTTTTGGTATGTCGAATACGTCATGGGTAGCTTGCCAGGCTTTGCCGTGCAGAAGAGATACTCTCAGTAGCTTGCCATGCTCTCTGAGAGGGGCAGAGGAATTGAACCAAGGTCAGCTGCATACGAGGCAAACACCCTACCTGCTGTGCTATTACTCCAGCCCGGATTACAGGAGAATTGAATTATTTTTTCCATTTTGTTTTATGCTCTTTTAAAGGCTTGTTTACTTCTGTTTAAAAAGACAAACAATATGGAACTGATTGTGACCACTCTACATATTACCTATCTTTTAAAATCTGCTTGTTGGGTTATTTGCTAGAAAGAGCTGGCAGAGCTGCGTACTGGGGCTGAAATCAAGGATGAGTCACAGATAGGAAGCAGTGTTTTGTACATAGTCTGTCACCTCCCATACTTGTCTTCCCTATGAAGAAAGAGTCATCGGTGCAGATAGTCATTTCCAGGGCTATAAGCTAACATCCGAAAGCTCATTTAATGCACCATAAGGTATCATCAGAATGTGTTTGTCATCATTGAGCAAGAGAACTGGGTTGACTAGCCCCTCAGGTCCTGTTGGGGGAGCAGCAGGAAAAATGAGCAGGATTTTTTTATATTGAAATCAGCATGTCTTGGGAAACCATGATTGGATGGAAATTCTTTGGTAAACCTTCCAAACTCTAACCACCTGCAGTCCTACCCTTCACCTGTGGGTATGTTGTCACTTTGCATCTGGGTTGCAGTAGGCTGTCAATCTTAATAGTGCTGATGAAAACAGGTTACAAGAAATTGCAGCTTTTTATTGCAGGGTGAGGAAGGAGAGCTCTCAAATTCAGAGAACCCAGGGGCCACTCCTAGGGATATTCAGCCAGCTGGAGCTGGGGGAGGGAAGCGGGGGAGGGTGGCTCAGTGCTAGACCCTGAGGATGTAGTGCTGCTCTGACCCTATACTTTCAGAGATCACCAGGGCACTCTGGTGGTGCTTAGGAGGCACTGTAGTGCCAGGGATTAAGCCCCTAGACTGTTTGCCTGGCCCCAAGAAGTTGCAACTTCTTCTTACAGACATAAGGGAAATGAACAGAAATAAATTGCCAGTAATTATGAGTATCTCATCATTTATATCTAAGAAATCTGAGTCAATTGAAAAATTGTAATTACTCATAAACTGTGATCCTGTTTAAAGCTAACCAGAATTTGGCAGAAATTACCAGACATTCATTTGGAGAAGTCTTTTTTTTTGTCAAGATTGTTTAGATTGGTCCTTGTCAAAGTGTATTGACAGAGCTATAACTCTGCACACAATTACAGCATTCAGCCAGGCTCAGCCATACAAGTATCCAAGATACCATTTAGAAAAAAAGCCTTTCTGATTGTGTTCCATTGTTTCCATGAATGTGCACATACATACCATGTGACCACTATGAACAAGAGATGTTCAGCTCTATACATAGCTGATACCCTGACTACATAAACTTCTGGCCCTTCTCATTAATCCATGATAATGAACAAGAGTCCAGAATATCATTGCTGGTGTTTAGGGAGGTCCCAGAGATAGTATAACAGCCTAGAAAATGCCATAGTAGATTATAGACAACAAATAGATTTGTTTAAACTAAATTTAGGCCTAATTTTGAAACTGAACACTTTTCATTAGTTTATCACCATATTTCAGTAAGTGTTTGTCCTTCCCTTCAAACTCATTTTGTTGAATTCAAAACCTAATAACTTTATTGCACATTGTATTTCTTCCCTGTATTTCTTCCCTAGATCTTTTTTTTTTTTTTTTTTTTTTTTTGGTAAGAATAGAGTTGGTTTTTTGAGGGTCTTTTTTTCTTTTTTTTTTTTTTTACAAGAGTAGAGCTGGGACACTGGTTTTCAACTCATTCCTTCCTTTTCCCAGGAAAAAGTTCCATGCTTTCACAACTTTGTGATTTTGCTGTTCCTGCTCTCCTCCACCTTGCTCCCTGGTGGAATTGCGCTCTTTAGCTTTCAAATTTGCTGCTGCTCCTTGTTCCACGCCCAGGCTTTTCTTTCAAAATTGGTGACAAGGTTCTCCAGTGAATTTCCTCAGTAGGATCCCATGCAGGATTCTGTATTTAATTCCGTTTTAATGTGTTTTTTGTTGTAGTGCCCCAGGTATTTCTCTCCCTTTCCACCAACTTGGCCCTGCCCCTGTCCTCTTCTTCCCTAGTAATATTTTCAAGTAGATGGGCTATAAAGACTGAAGCAGGAAAGGTGTTCTTGGTGAAAAAGTTGAAATTAACAAGACTAACCAAAACAAATTTTTCAAGGAAAATCTTAGTTAAAAAAAAACCTGTATATTGAAAGTAATTATTTAAAACTTAAAAAAGAGTCTGTTCCTTTCTTCATGTGTAAGTAAGCAGAGATATGGTCCACACCATCTAGGGCCTTAATTCTTAGCTTTTCTGAAAAGTCTGTTTTCTGGAGTCAGTAGGAATACATAACTCTGTCTATATTTTTGTGGGAAGTATAATACTTTAATTTTAAGCCTTGAATTTTCAATTTTTACTGTGGAAATGCAAGTCAAATATCATGTCAGTTAAATGCTCTTCTGTGTTGTCAGAAATTTACCCTTTGATTTCATTTTTCTAGCTGATGACTTTTTTCTAAAGATGTGTTTTTCTAAGTTTAGTATATATCAAAATCATCTGTAGGACTTGGAAGCAGAGAATTATGTTTCCATTATAAGAATGTTGACATAGTAGGATTGAACTATAACCCAACAGTTTATATTCACAAGCTCTCAACTGATGGTGAGGCTGCTGATTTGGGATTTCTCTTGAGAACCATGTCCTAGAAAGTGCTCTGCATTAAAGGTGCTTTGCCTCTCCCTGGCACAGGTACTGTTCTTTCTGGTTTGTCTCGAACATACATATGAGAAGGCAACTATGCACACATGGCATCTTCTAGAGACTCTCTGACTCCTGATGAAAAGTGCATGCTTCATCACTGACCTGAAAGTGATGGGTTTTTTTTCTCTTTTCCTGTTTTTCTTAATTGTTCTTATTTCTCTCTGTGCTGTCCCCTCATTCTCGCCCCTTTCTATCTGGTGCAGAGATGAAGATAGTTGGGTGTAAGTTCTTCCTTTTGTGTCATGTCTGCTTTTTTGCCTGCTTGGTTTTCATCCTCATTTGTTTCATGGAATGTTTCAATACTGGGATGGGATGTCACATACATTATTAATCCTTCATCAGCTTCACCCTTTGGTATAATTGACGTTTTTTAAAAGAAACTACCAGTCCAGTCCAGAAAACTATGTATTACTTTGGGTGTTTATTAAGATCTTAGGAAACAAAGACATTAGATATGCTTTTAACCTTAATTAGTCGAAGGCATGTAGATAGAAGAAACCCTCTTATAAAACATACTAGCTACTCTCATTAAAAGTAAAATAGGATGGGGCAGGGGCAGAGAGATAGTACAGGGGATAGGGCACATGCCATGCATGCAGTCTACCCAGATTCTTCCCCTGGCATTTGACATGGTTCCCCAGCACAGAGCACAGTCAGGATTAAACCCTGAGCACTACTGGGTATGGCCCCCAAAAACAAAAAGAAACAAAAATAAAATAGCAGTGCTTAAAAGAACCAAAAGGTCAGAAAACTGCTTTTTTCAGTTCTGTTGGATACATCAAGTACAAAGGGCCAACACATAGAGCCATAACTTTTATAAGAAAGCGGGTGAGGAAGCTATTTACAACCAGTAAATTCAGAAGATAGTGTTCCATTTAAGTATCAAATGAGGCTATGGCAATATATCTAAGGGATGGTTTTGAAGTAACCACATCTGGTACCAAAATAAATTGGAAGATATCACAGTAAGTCCCTTCATAGGGCAAAAAAAAAATGTAACAATAAAGGTCAGTAAAAGTTCCAAGTCTTCCTAAGAGTCTTTTTGGGTCTCTTCTTCAAAATAAGAGCTACACCAAAATAAAGCATATGTCATATGCCTGATTTTGTCTAGATTGAATGGTTGTAAAAATACCCCCTCACAGCATCCCTTCACACATCTCCACATCTCCATGTCAGGGAACTTTACTCTTATTCTGTCAACAGATAGAATTGGTGACATACTGAGCTGACTGC